CCCTCTATACCCATCCTCGTTCTCACCCCAGTTTCCCCCCAACCTGCCATATCGAGTCGTTTAAAACATTCACATCGACGACTATTTTCAAAGTACAACTCTTATGCCCAACCGTTGGGCATAAGAGTTGTATTTTTGGTGCTGCCTCGCATGCCCGGTGCAGGATGGTTACACTTTTCATCGGGATAGCGGCTGGCTGCAAAAACCAGAAATTACATATTTAATCATCGTCACAGTTCTCGCTTACGTCTGCGATCGACCCAATAGTACGATATCTACCGCGACCGGAGAAACCTTTTCTAGCAGGCCAATTCGAGGGCCGGGCTCTCCGACCAGAGCCTTCTGGTGATTGAAGGAAGGTTCAAAACGCTTTTCAGCAGAGCAAGTTCTTAGGTAACGCGCCTCCCTGCCTTCATGTTTCGCTTCACAAGCAGTCGATTGCTTCGACCGGCGCTAGCCCTCACAGCAACAGTAACCACAGCAGGACTAGTTCACAGAACTGCGTCAAAGCCTCAATCCCAAAGAAATTCGTTCAACGACGCCCTATGGAACACCACAATTCATCCACTTCCAGCTGCGTCCGAGGCCTCACAGTTCTCGGAGCCATCTGCGGACCGTGCCGGTTTAGAGATCCCCGAATTTCCATCCTTCAAAGCATCAGAAGTCCGTTCACATGACGGGAAGAAGGGCGATAGAAGTGTGTGGGTTGGCTACGGTCGTGGTGTTTACGATGTCACGGAATTTGCCGCTTCCCACCCTGGCGGGGACCAGATTTTGCGTGCGGCAGGCGGGCCTTTAGAGCCGCATTGGCGATTGTATGCACAGCATAATGCGGAATGGGTGCTCGAGATTCTGGAGGAATTGCGAATCGGAAACTTGATGCCGGATGAAGAATGGATTCAAGAGGCTGAAGACATTAATGAAGAGGCGGGGCCGTATGCCGAGGAGCCAATTCGAAGCCCGAAGCTCATTGTTCAGGGAGAAGCACCTTTCAACGCTGAGCCTGAACTCAAGCTTCTTGTGCATGATCAACTTACACCAAATGACTTGTTTTACGTCCGCAATCACATGCCTGTACCTGTCATCCATCCCGAGGAGTACCGTCTGGAAGTTGTTGACACTAACGGGAAAATGCTAGTCTCGCTCTCCCTAGAAGATTTGAAGAAGCTTCCAAAACACGTTGTGGCTGCCACAATACAATGCGCTGGCAATCGTCGCAACGAGTTGGATGCCGTGAAGAAAGTCAAGGGGGGTCGCTGGGAAGGCGGGGCGATCAGCAACGCCGAATGGGGAGGTGCTCGTCTCGCAGATGTACTTGCTCTGTCGCCGAGCAGCGCGAAAACAATTGAGATCTCTGAAGCACACCACTTGTGCTTCGAAGGTCTCGATACTGATCCTGGGACGGGAGCTGTCTACGCCGCAAGCATCCCGGTGGACGTTTTGCATCGCGTTCCGGATGTGCTACTCGCCTACGAAATGAACGGGGAGACTCTGCCGCGGGACCACGGCTACCCCGTGCGAGCGGTCGTACCTGGTATTGTCGGAGCGCGTTGCGTGAAGTGGCTGGGGCGAGTCGTACTCTCCAAGGAGGAATCGACGTCGCACTGGCAGCGTCAAGATTATCGCTCATTTTCCCCGGGTGTGGACTGGGACACCGTGGACTTCACGAAAGCGCCCAGCATCCAAGAAATGCCGGTAGTGTCGTCAATCTGCGATCACTCGTTGGATGGCGAAAAGAAAACGATTTCGATGAGTGGGTACGCGTGGTCTGGCGACGGCAAGGGTATCATTCGAGTGGACGTGAGTGCTGACGGAGGAAAGACATGGCAGGAGGCTGCGCTGCGAAAGAAGGGGTCGCAAAAGAGGAACGAGACATATGACTGGACGTTGTGGGATGCAACGATCAAGGCTCCTGCAAATGGGAAGACGGAGCTTGTGTGCAAAGCCGTGGATTCAGCGTACAATACGCAGCCAGAACGTGCTGAGTCAATCTGGAACTTAAGAGGATTGCTGAACAACGCGTGGCATCGTGTGGATGTTGACAAGGTATGATGAGGTGTTGTTGCTTTTTGAGCAGGGAAGGAGAAGGTGCGCAGGCGGTAGCGACCCTTGGCTATCAAGGGTCCAGCGGTTGTGTTTTTGGAAAGTTACATGTGTTGCGGGAATAGCTCGCCTGCACTTTTGGCATCCTACCGCGAGATTGGTCATGAGCTCAGAAGAAAGCCGGGTGCCTCCATACGCAGAAAACAGCGATATCTACAGGTTATACAAACACTTTGCACGTCAAACGTTGCTCTCTTCCGTAGCAATCCCGCGCATGCGACCATAAAGCCAGCTTGCGGAAACTTGGCAGCGAGGAACGACGCGCATATCAATCGAGCTTTTTGATTCGAAATGGCTTTGGTGCGGCCCCCCACAATCTATACGCCCTGCGAGCCTGGTATGCGATCAGGCCGAGGTGGGGCACATAAATGATGATGAAGAAAAAGAGGCAATATGGACGCATTTGTTGCGCCACAAGTTGGACAACCGACACTCGCAGCTGCCTTGCGCATTTGTACAGCAACCACGGCGGGGGAAGTCCACATGTGACAAGTGGAACAAGGACGCAAAAAAGATGTAAAGGCTTGAGGAGGCGTTGATCACGAACGTCAGTGACGGTGCAAAGCCAGCGAGCCTCGTTGGAGACGTGTCCCGCAGCGGAGATGAGAAAGGCAGCGGCCGGAAGGGCGGAGCAGCGGCGGTATGAGATATCGTAAACGAGGAGGGCAACAGCAACAGAGTGGTGGAAGAGCCATAAGGGAGAGCTGGAGGGCGGGGTGGGATGCATGACGATCCCCGCCGCGTCGTACAGGTAAAATGCGACGATAATCAGAAAGCCGAGGTGGGCCAGCGGAGAGTAGCCGTAGAGGGGGTCGGCCTGAGTGTGCGGGTCGAGCAGAAGCAGGTAGAGGTTGAAGGGAGTTTGGACGAGCTGGAAGAAGAGGTTGAGCGAACGGCGGTCCCAGTCGAAGCGAGCGGCGGGAGGGAAGGAGACGTAGGAGGGGAAAAGGGGAGATATGTAGTGGCGGTGAAAGAGGTCGAGGGCATAGAAGAGGGTGAGGGAGCTGACGACGGTTACTAGGTCTGGCGGAAGGGACGAGGGGAGCGGGGGTGGCATTGTGCAGACGGGGGGATAAGCCGGCGAGAAGGTTGGGAGGGAGGGTGGTTGCATCGGTGGGAGGAGGAGATGTCGTGATGGCTGTTAACCCTATGCTGATGTGTACAGTGCGCACTGAAAGTATAGGGACACCCCAAAACCTTAAGCTTTCACGTGAATACAAAAGATATGATACTGGGCGACTCCGAAAATCCCATTTCCCAATTTGTGCAGGCACAAATCATCATTTGTGCACGCACAAATGGTGATTTATGTATACACAAATCCCGTGTACTTCGCATGCTTCTCCTCATGCGAAGTTGATTTGTGTATGACACAAATCTTCCGCTTGCGCATTTTCCATTGTAAGCCTCCAATCCTCTTGCCCCTTAAGCCCGCCACGAACCCATACCAAAACCATCTTTCGTGACACCCTTCCCTCGCCATCGACACCGAGTTACGATGTCCTCTCCCGCTGATGAAGACTCTCCTCATGCATCACCCCCTCAATCCGACAATGCAGCAAATCAAAACGCTAAAGCCCCCGCCCACGCCTCTTTCCCCCACGCTTCCGGACCTCTCCATCGTTCCTCCTGCCAGTCACAACCCTCTCACCCCAACAACCTCATGCCATCCACTCACGGACCCCACACTCCTGGACAACGACACACGCTGCCCTTTGTCAATGCCTGTCCTTCAGCCCCTTCCAGTCTCCCAGCACCGTCTCCCGACTTCAGCGCTTCGACACCGAATGTACCCCCACCATCTGCGGTAGTTTTCATGTCCGAGCCAGATCCAACACGTCCTGCTGCGCCTGCAATTCATCAACGACCGCAAACGACCCGGTTGCCGCGACATGTCCGCCGTCCGCTCAAGCCCCGCAAGAGAATATCGCGGAATGTGGCATCCGGTGAGAGAAGATCTCGAAATGCTCGGGCTCCTGGTGGACGCGGAAGCGGCTTCACGCAGCAAGAGACCGAAAATCTTCTTGAATTGTTAATAGAGCACCTACCGCTGTGCAGGGATGAGTGGGAAACAGTTTTGCGGCTTCACCGTGATCGTTACCCCGGAGTGGAGAGAAGTGTCGATTCAATAAGGCGAAAGTTTGGGGCACTCCATCGAAAGAGAGTGCCCACGGGTGATCCAAATATTCCACCAGATGTGGAGAAAGCGAAGCGCGTTCGGCAAAAAATGACGGAAAGAGCTGACATTGGCGATGCCGAGTTTACCGAAGACATTTTAGAAGAATCGATTCCTGATCATTCGTCAGGATCAGGTATCGCGTCGATATTTTGGACTGACGACGAGACAGAAGGTGCGGGCCCTCTTACAACCGTAAATGAGCGTGAAGAGCAAGGGAGCGAAGACGCGCGCGCATTCGCCTCTACGTCTGCGGACATAGAAGTTGAAGGGACGCAGAACAATACTGCTGCGCTGCCTAGTTTAAACTCTCGTGGCATGTCACCAAGACCACTTGTTCGCAAGAGAAGCAGTCTGTCAGGAGACGTGCCAAAGTCTGGGGTTGACGATATCCTTTCTTTGATAAAAATGTCAATGCTACAGGATCAAACGCGAAGAGCAGATGAGCTGGCGCAGAGGGAGCTGGATAAACTGGAGGAACGGCAGAATAGGGCGGATGAGAGGAGGCGAAAGGAGCAAGATCGAGTAGATGAAATTGCTCGACGGGTGGAGGAGAGGTCGCGTCGTGAAGCTGAGTCCAGGCGGCATGAGCAATTTATGCAGATTATTCTGCTCAGCCTTACACAGTCCTCCCAAAAGCGATCTAAAGACGTGCCGGATACCGATCCTGAACCATAGCTGCAATGACAAGCAGACCCTGGCGCAGTAACGCCGCTCCGAAACGCCTCGCGAAATGGCAAAACAAATCTCCGTGATGCCGATGTGTTTAATGTGGATCACCGAGCATGCAAATGAGAACGATCTCAGGGGCCCGCACTTGACCTGAGAAATATGTTCGCTTCCGCGCCAAGATGTGGCATGTAAGTGGACATAATTTGGTTGATACCCACCAGCCTTGTGCGAAAGTTGAAGAACAACACACTGCACAATAAAATGATTTTCCTCTCGCCTCTTTCTTCGTAGAACATTCGGTCTTTCAGTCGAGGGAAAGTCCCTTTTATTGCCCTCATTCCCCACTCTGATGCCTGCCGTGCCGATGTCGCCTGCCGGGCAGCAATCACCTCCTCTCGACCTTCCGAATTTGCCAGTGGGTCCTGACTCGACTTTATCAAAAAGGGGTGCTCTCCTCTTGAGAAAGCCGAGTCCACCACACACATTCCACCTGTTCTATCATAAACCGTTCGCAGCTTGGAATATATGTTACCCCAATCTGCAATTTGGGAGTCGTGCATAGCACCAGGTGCATTTACTGTACATGCAATTATAACCCCACTTGGGGCGAAAACAAACACGTTACCAACGTAGTGGTCGTGTGTCCAGCCATTGTAGAACATATTCTGAATAACAGTGTCCCCTGCTTGCTCTAGATAGAGCTTTAGTCCGTCGGCAACAGCGTAAACATCGGAAAGCATAGAATATTTCGACGCAAATGCTTCCTTGTAGGCTCTCACCTCTTCATCATTCGGCATTCTGACCGCAGCGAGTGGGTCCATAGATAAAACCTTCATTAGAATCCTGCGACCAAACCTAACAAAGACAGAACAAACGGACGCGGTAACTCCAAACAAAAGACAAAGAACCATCTCTGATCCCCTTGTGCGCCACCAACAGAGCACTAAACCTAGACATTGCTGTGAAGTCAATGTTCGCGGCCGTCCGCGCCTTACATTGCGCAACGGCAATAAACGAATCACTCCGTCAGCAGTGTAAGGAGTGTATCTGTCGTAATGTTGTCTGAAGCGCGCCAAAAGATGTGAAAATGCTCTATGGTCAAGCCCCACGAGGGTGATCAGCGACTGATCACACCCGGAACCAAACAGAAGGGCAAAGGGAGAAACAGAAGGGTGCTGAAGGGCTCTTCTCGTAATGCGACGGTCCCTTCGTCTTCGCCCTTGCGCTGTCAATTGTCTTCGAAATGCAGTTCTTTCGCCACTGGTTTGGCATTGAAGGAGCTGGAGCAAAAGGAGCGCGATGGTCGGGCTCTGCATGGCTATCGTGAGAGGTTTGATGGGCGTGGTGGCTGAGCACTGGGTCAGCATGGTGTATGATCAAATGCAGTATTGCTTTGAAATGATTGGAGGAGGATGGATTTCTGATCCAGCATGGTTTTTTATTTCTGCTACGTCGTAGTTTGCGTGTATGATTTTAGTGACCCCATAGCGTGACGTGCACACAAAATGTGATTTGTGTATCAGTCACAAATTGTGATTTTCGGAATGACCCACTGAACAGTAGCTCAAATGAAAGCGCAGAGCAAGCGTGTTACGAACCTGCATTCTTTTTTATGGTTTAAAACGTATACAGTGACTTCTGTATAAAAACCAAATTACCGTCGCACTGTAATTATAAGGACAGTACGCCGCGAGGGACACAGTAGAACAGTAAGCCAGTTTTGGCGCAACCAGAAGACTACAGTACCTTCTTCCCTAACGTGCACAGCCATCCCAAACCACAGTTGTCCAACACACCGCGGTTCAACATGCCCAAAGGAAAGCAACTCACCGACGTGGAGAAGGGGCAGATTTTGGTTCTTCACAATGAATGTTTGTCAATAAGGGAGATCGCTGGGTCTATCAGTCGCTCGAAGACTGTCGTGCATAACTTTTTAAAGAACCCGCCGGCATATGGATCAAAAAGAGAACGGGAAGGCCCCCAAAACTAACTCCGGCTTTAAAGAGAAGAGTCATTAGAGAGGCATCTAAGGGTAAAACGTCGGCCAATCAGATACGTAATGCGCTTGATCTACCTGTACACAAGTCTCTGGTTCAAGCTCCTTTGAAGAAGGATACGGGTGTACAGTATACCAAGTTTTTGAGTGCTCCTTTGTTGACCCCATTTCATATGCAACAAAGGCTTGATTGGGTTAGGAAGCATGTCACTTGGATTGATGATAAATGGAACAAAGTAATCTTTTTCGATGAAAAGAGGTTCAATTTAGACGTTCCAGATGGTTGCCATTATTATTGGCACGATTTGCGGAAAGAGAAGAAAAGTTTAAGCAGACGCCATCAAGGAGGTGGTTCGTTAATGATTTGGTCTTGTTTTTCTTATTACGGTCGAAACAATTGGTTATCATGTACGGTAAGCAGGATTCATCCAAGTACTGTTCTTTACTTAAGGATGATTTGCTCCCATTTTCGGCTGTAACACATGGAGAAAACTGGATATAACAACAATACAATGCAGCTATACATCATTCTTTTATACAAAGAAGTGGTTTGTGGACAACGATGTTACTGTGTTACCGTGGCCCTCTCTGTCACCCGACCTAAACCCTATAGAAACCCTATAGGAAATCTTGGCGAGGATTGCTGTCCTGCAGTGGAACGGGGTCCGCAAATCCTATTGAAGGTGACATGAAGAATGATTTTGGGTGGCACTGACTCGTTTGTCCTTATAATTACAGTGCGGTCGTTTTAAGGGTTTTAAACTTAACGGACTACTGACATACCCAATCATTAAAGAGGTTACATAATATTTGTACTCCTCCTCTGTGCTTCAATATACGCTCCTGACACCATCATGCCTTTTGTTCTTATGTGGCAGATCAGGATTCCATTGGTGTCCTTATAGTTGCAGGGCGCATCGTATGAATGTTTGGTAGACCAAAATTTCTGAAAATATGGGCGTGGGTGTCTCCTTCGTATAATAAACATCCATTTGTCCCTATTTCGGTGTCTTTAAAAACGTCTACACCTCAGCATTGGATAGAGATCCATTTCATTCATATAGCATAAAGGAACAATCAACTATGAGGCAAACAAAATTAGAGCCATAAGCAGTGTCTCAAATGTACAAAACGTCACTTCCCGGGTCTACAATCGGTCACCTGCGTCTACGACTTTTCTCAGGTATATATAGAATCACTTATTGCCTCCTTG